TTGTCCAAGTATCAATTATAGGAATGGGTATTAAATGAGAAACTTGGTATTTTAAAGAGCCCATATTCAAACTTGTGCATAACGGATGATGAAAATGGAAAGCTTATTCTACATCATTGCAACATGGTTAATGTTTTTCTACATATTATCAAAACTCTTCATAATTTTATCTTATTCAGGAACGTTAGTGCCAAGTCATTTAAAATCATTTATATTCTTTGATGTGTTGGTATTTCATTTGATAATACAGAAAAGTTTTCTATAGCAAACAATATATTGAAGTAATTGTTACAGACTAGAGGAAGGTGGATTTTGGATGAAATAAACGGAAGACTGCTCAAAAACGATCATTGTACAGCTTTGCTGTTGTCAAGTTCTCATGACCGAGATAATGTTTTAGTGTTAATGCCATGTGATGTTACCGATGAACGACAACGTTGGATATTTGAGAGGCCTCCAGCATTTTGATTTCATGTTTGTGCGAATTTTGCGACAGAATTTTTTGTGAAAACTTTTATTTTAATAATTTGTTTTTAAATTCTAAATTTGCTTAATTTGAGCTTTAAAATAAGGTGCTATCTTCCCCTTCTTTGCTTTTGTTTGAAATTGGTATCTGAATGACCAGTGAATAACAGTATATGGTTTTAAGCTTCTTGTTTCTGTTGTTAATTCTCAAATCTCATTGAAACTTTCAATCCACCGCAATGTTTAGGCTTTCATCAATCTGAACCACTTAGTCTTTACTGTCAGCATGTTCAGGTGTCTTATAATTTATATGATCTTATAATTCGCTGCACTCAAACACAGTTCAATCGCTGTAACTCATATATCGTCTTAAAGTTCCTATGTTTTATGCACATTTTTTTAGGAAACGGGATATCTAATTTCTTCGAATGTTACGTGTTACTTTTAATTCAAGAATTTTCCATCTGTTCATGTGTTCTTCTGCAGAGCTAACTTCAAAGGGCTGTGCGGAGGATGTGTAATTTCATGAGAACTTCGTATTTCTTAATTTATTTAATTTGTGTAATTAATTTTTTAGAAGCTCTGACTTATGCAGCAGAGAATTATGAATAGTGGATTATATCATATTGTTTCTTTGGTATTCTGTTATTTCATTTCTCTTTGAAAAGTGAGTGTTTTGCCGATTATATGCTTTTTTTAATAAGTTTTACTGAGCTTTAAGTCATGTGAACCTTTAGTTTTTGCTCGTATATATCACTTCCTTTGTATTTTCTTTGATCAGATATATTTTAGTTTGCTTCTTTTCTAGTCTTATACTTATTAGCTTTTTACAATGTATTCTTTATAGCTAATTTCATATTGTTTATATACTACGTCACATCATGCGTTGCTGTGCTAATTTAGGGAATGAATTTTGAAACTTTGCTTTGGAATTAACCTAAGACAATTTATTTCTGTTGAATTGCTTGGCTTTATAGATAGGTTAGTAAATGCCCTAGTGAATCATATCTATACGCAAAATCAAGGCACTATGAAGTAAAGCAAGTATGGAAGTTTAGGCACATATCTAAAAGCCAATTTTAATTGATCTATGGCCGTTGCATAGGAGAATGAAAATGTGTTTTCCAAAATTATGATCATTATTATGCGGCAATCTCAAATTGATTTTTACAAAAGAAAGAATATTTTTCTTAGTAAATCCCACGTAGTTATATAATATAATATAATATAATATATATATATATATATATAAGAGATGGTTTCGTTGCAATTTGAAATAGAAATGATAAAATTTTCGTTCATTGAGGATCATTGTTTCTGTATTCTCATAAATATTATTGAATGTCGCATTACCGTAATAAGTTTTGCAGTGATACATTGTTGCGGTTACTCAAGTGAAGGTAATATTTTTTGATTAAGAGCTGACATAATAAGGTAATCCATTGTCATCTAACTTATGTCTTCATTTACTAATTGCTATTCTATAGAAAGATCCTTAGGATCTCCCATAATTTAACTCGCTTAAAATAAGATGAAGATTATGATGATTCTCTGGATTTGGGATTTGTAAAACGCATCAAAAAATTATGTTGCGAAGTAATAGGTAGTATTCGCATAGGAAAATGTCCTAAATTGACAAATATCACTTTAACGAACTAGGCATTAATTAATTACTTCCTTGTTTGTCTGTTATAATTCTTCTAGTTTATTGAAAGTTTCTCAATGTGACCGTATGTCTCAATTTATTTCATGAATTTCGTAATACAATATTTACTATTCTTATTGTTGCAGGTAGTAAATGTCATTCCTCATCCTTTTAACTTTATTGTGTAGTTCGGCACGTGCACTGTATTTTCATATCGCTGAGACTGAGCGAAAGTGTTTCATTGAGGAGATACCTGATGAAACAACTGTGATTGGTAATTATAAGGTAATGTTATATGATCCGAACACGAAAGGTTATGGTGAATATCCGAGGATCGGGATGCACGTTGAAGTTAAAGATCCCGAAGATAAGGTAATCCTTGTTTAGTTTTGTAATTGAACATGAATTATGGGCTATGGAAACAAATTGTTCGGTTAAGTACCAAGAGTACTGTAGTCAGTAGTACGAAGTTTATCAATTTTTAAGAATGATTCAGTTTGTTTAATTGATGTGTTTCGCACTTCCAAATACAGTAATATGCCTGTAATGCGGAACATATCCTGAAAATATTAAGGTTAATTTTATTTTATTTCTCATAATCGATATGTGGAAGGATTCTTTTGTAGTGAATTTTTATATATTGTTCCATTATTAAATTTTTCGTGATGGTTCTGATTATTATTGTAATTTCGTTTTGGGAATGATAGCAGAGACTATATCTCTGAACGATATTCTATTTAGTTATTTAAATAGTAAAATAAAAATTCTTAATTAGTTTTATTGCTTGCTACACTTTTAGGTAATCTTATCAAAATTATATACCAGCGAAGGACGATTTACATTTACCTCTCACTCACCTGGTGAACATTTCATCTGTTTATATTCGAATTCAACCTCTTGGTTTAGTGGTGCACAGCTACGGGTGTACCTTGACATTCAGACTGGTGAACACACGCAGGACTACGAACAGGTAATTTCGAATTTGTCAAGATTATTTTATTAATTTACGAATGAAAACAGCAAAATAGCTTTAATTAAATTTTATGGTATTTTGTTCAGTATTTACTTGGCATAATGCAAATCTTTCTGCAACCTTCTGCGTCTTATTGCTAAGTTCTGCATTTTGTAGGAATTACTTTAAGTTATCATCTACTACTTCAAGATAAGTTATCTCAGGTAGCCGCAAAAGATAAACTGAACGAGTTACAACTTCGAGTCCGACAATTACTTGATCAAGTTGAGCAGATTTCCAAGGAACAAAACTATCAGCGGTACAGGTATGCTTCATTTCATTTTCAAAGTATCTGAAAGTTTCCAACTTTTATCATACGAATTAGAGGAGCTCCTTCGCTGCTGGGCATGATCAAGGGATACGTATATGCTCTTATTATGGTCATAAATGTGTTTTTGAAAAAGATTGTTCTTACATTAGGATTAATTTATGCCGATTGTCAATTGTATCTATCAATTAATTTAAGGGAAGAACGTTTTCGACAAACGAGTGAAAATACGAATTCGCGAGTATTATGGTGGTCCATTGCACAAACAATAGTACTGTTATTAACCGGAGCTTGGCAAATGCGTCATTTGAAGGGATTCTTCGAAGCTAAAAAACTTGTTTGATTACTGTATACTTTTAGAGCCTTACTTTTGTCATATTTTTAGGTTTTTACATTTTTTTCGAGATAGAATGCTTTTACGGTTTTCGTTTTGTCGGCTTATGAAAAAATGGAACTTATTTACCCTTTTTTTTAAAAAATTTTAAATAGTGATTTTAACATTTTTTTGGAGGATTTTTGAAGTGAATTCCTCGTATTATGAAGAAAAGCCATAGGAGGAAATTTTTACAAGTAAACTTTCTAAAAATTGTTAAAAATAGCTTTTTGATCGTAAGCTACTAATTGTAAGTTGATCTTGATGGTTATAATTATTGTTTCATTTATTGTATTCCAAAATTTTTCGGAGGTTTGTTAGGATTTAACTAAAATATGTTAATAATTAAATTTCTCTGTTTATTGAGACCTGATGGTCAACAGAACAAAAACATGGGTGTAAGATAACTGATTTGAGGTAAATAATGTCCCAACGATCCCAATAAGGTTTTAGTATTAAGGAAGTTTGCAGTTAAACATTGGTTTTTTTATGAATTGCATGTTATATATTTTATTACGATCACTAGTATTAATTTTGTGGATACAAACCTCCTCATTGTTCTCTGGTTGTTGTTGAAGTACTAAAACGCGCTATAATTTATCCAAGCTGCGTTATTCATCAAATGATGATTTACTAGAAATCAATGCAATTTTTTTCGCTAAATCCTAATTTACAAAATCGATATGTACGTGTATAATATTCGATCTATTAATTTCGATGTTATATTTTACATCGTCTTTAATATTTGTAGTTCTTTGATTAATTCTTGTTGCTGTTTATGCCTTATCCTATTAATTTAATTTTTGATTTACATCTGGGTGTTATTTTCTATATTATTCTCTCCCTACCGATTTATCTTTTAAGATTTTTTTTTTCTTATAAAAAAGTATTATTTAACGATGTCCATTTCTTCAAATTACGGAAAGCATTTGATGTTTCTTCTGCACTTGAAAAGTTCCATTAGTATAAAGATTGGAAGGTGACTGATTGATATTTAAGGTTTGAGAGATAATTGTTTTATTGTCCGCTTACTGATACATTTGAGCCTAATTTCTCATTGCTTTGCGAAGAGAATTGAAAAGACATCAACGACGGAATTAGTTGTTTAACAATAACATTTCTGACCGATCGTGGATGCAAATGTTAAATGCAATGCTTGGCTGTATCTAAAAATTGGAAAGATGAAGCACTGCTAGTAATTGATGCTCAAAATAGAAAGTTGTTTCCAGAAGTACTAATGTTTACTCCAAAATGGACGAAAACAAGAACATCAAAAATATGGATGGCAATAATTTCTGCGAGTGCAGGTGTTAGTGGGGCATACTACAGTTATTTGTACGTTTTTTTCATAGTCTTTTCATCTAAGGATTAAAGATGAAAAGTAGAAATATTAGTCTATCCAAATGTTTCAGTTATTTTCATTTCAATTATATTTTATGCAAAGATATGCTAAAGTATTTTATCGCAAGAAAAAAAAAAGTATTTTTAATGCACATACGATCATTTGAAATCATACACAGAGGTAACGAATATAAGAGGAGGAATAAGGTTAAGGATAAGGATGAACAGTTTTGATAATTTTTTTTCACTTCTCTAGATACTGCTTCGTGCTAGCAATAAAATTCTGCAAGCTAGAAATAAGATATTGTTTACTGCTAATTAAATTATCCAAGTCAAAGTACCTCCCGACAACATTCAATTTAAAATTCAAATTTAAATTTTAATTTGCTTAATTTTAGTCATGGCAAACCAATTGATAATTACAAATTTGAACATGATTTGGCTAATAAGACATACATCGTTGTGGGTGCTTCTTCTGGTATTGGCAAAGAAACAGCCAAAGAATTGGCAATGCGAAAAGCGAAAGTAATTATGGCTTGTAGGTAGGGTCATATGTCAATTTTCAGTAATGTAACTATAAAGAAAATATAGATTTTTGTGGAATATTTTCGATAATTTTGTAAAATTAGGGAGAAAGAGACGTTTTACCGAATGTTTGCTCTAAAGACTAACGTTTAGATACCACAAGACATTTACAGTAATCTGGCATTGGAACCATCATCTAATAGTATTAAATATTGTGTCGTTAGCTCACAAATACAACAATGAAAATATCAGAAGTGGTGCAAAAAAATAAATCATATTTTCAGTCAAGCAACTTTATAGGAATAATCGCAAGTGCATTGAAGCTCGTCGAAACTTAGTAATATCAACGAAAAATACGAATATTTATTGTAGACGTTTAAATTTGGAAGACTTTGATTCAATACGAGATTTCGTTCTCCAACTTAACACAGGTTCTCATCTATTTAATTAAAAATTATTTTTAACCTTTCAATGTACTCCTAATTTTTCTACAATGAAGTTATAGAGAACAGCTTAAGTTTCATCTCTTTTGACAGAGAGGTAGAAATGCTGGAGTTTATTTTAAAAATAACTTTTTCTGAGCATTTCTGGAATTATTTCAGGATTTAAAAAAAAATAGTGATTAAAGCAATGAAAAAGAACAACTTATTGTTCTAACTCTTGAAGTTTTGATTAAACAAAGATGGTATTTCTCAAGACATTGGTACTTTTTTAACTTTGAAAAATTGCTGGATGACAATGTCTCTATCACGATGATTCACTCTTGTAGGTAAAGGAAATATCGAGCGAATCGATGGTATAGTATACAGTGCAGCTACCGCAGAATCTACTCGACAAACGAATAAGGTTAATGATGTCATGGAAGAAAAATTCTTTCCGTCATTTTTCTAATATTTAATTTTTCAACAACTTTCATTTTATTTTCAATTTAAATTTTCGTCAGCAATCTAAAGATTGCAATGATTTATTTATTTCATATACTGTGTTATGTCAAAAATAATTGATAAATGATTGTAATGAAATAATTCTCTATTCTACTGTAAAATAAATGAAATGGTTAAGCAATTGGAACAGTGAGCCTTTTCAGAGAATCATTTTAGTGCCAATGTCCTGCATAAACATATGCTGCTGTGGTCATTTTCATTTCATTTCACTGACTCATCACGATTTTCGTTACTTTTGATACGCATTATTTTATTTTTTACAGCATCATATTGAACGTACATTTGCGACGAATCATTTGGGACCATTTTTATTAACATCATTATTGTATGATCAATTGAGGAAACAGTCAAGTCCGGTTCGCCTCGTATTTTTAAATACCTCGGATTTAAAATTGTAAATTATCTATTTCATTTTTCAAAATTTTCATTTCATTTGATACTTCAGTGGGCATTTCATACAGATAAATTCTGCTTTCCTCTTTTTTTGTGAGGAGGATACATCTTTCATTTAACATAGCATTTTTTACAGAGATGAGTTAAATTTTGATGACTTAAATTCGGCGGACCTGACGAAATGGCAAAAATCTCCTGAGAAAGCCAAGAAAGATGCTTATTATCAAAGTAAACTTGCTTTGACTCTATTTGTGAAGTCGCTGTCAGAAAAAGTCAAAGGTTGGTTTCATCAAGAAAGCTGACTTATTAATAATTCTTACTTTTTCTGGATTTGAAATCTATTTTTAAGAGTAAACCCCCTACTGCTTTCTATCTTATCCCCAACCTAGAAGGGTTGGGATTTTAGGAGTTTACAGCAAAGGATAAAGCAAAGTTAGGTGTTATTCTTACTTCCGGGCCATTTTGGAACAAATTTATCATTATTATTTATTCGTTGCATTTCTTAGATGATGCGATTACTGTTAGTGATCTCATTCTAGGTACAAATCTACGAGTTATGATGGTTGATCCAGGCAGTACGAAAACTAACCTGTTTTATCGTTTGGAAGTACCCGACGACCGAATATTTCTTGTACGATGGTATAAGTCTCTGAAAAGGTTGTAGTGAAACTATTTACGAATTAGAAATAAAAAGAGTCATTTGAAAGAGTCATTCTAGTTATTTGATCACTTTCCAAGAAAAGTGAGAATTTTACAGATGGGTTTATGGACTTATTGCTGCGCAGTCGATAAGCGATGCCACTCGTCCCGTATTATATGCACTTGCGGACGAGAAGATGGAGAACGTGAACGGAATTTTCATCAAGTTTGTTTTGTCATATTAAATTTTAAATCCTTGAAGTGACTTTATTCCAAATACTTGCACTGTCTTTCTTTTTACCATAGCATATTAATATGTACTTGCTTTCATTAAAATTATGAAGCGTATACATAGTTATAGACGAACATATTGCTTACTGTCCATTGGGCAGTTTGATTTCTCTTTTTTTCACAATCTTTTTTATGAAAAAATGAAAAAAATTGTAGCTCAATTAGGATCGAACTGCCATGGCATAAGCTATCATCGGATGAGGAAATTCTCAATAAGTTGTGGCTAACGAGCGCTAAATGGACAGATACCGGTTTTCATCTGCAACGTCTTCAGCAAGACTTAAAGAAACCAAAATCCCAAGAAACAGGCACAACACAAGCTAGAAGGGGTTGGTTTTCGTGGCTTTAATGAAGAGTTCTCAATAGTTTTTCTGTGAGGGAAATATCAATATTTGTGAGGATATATCAATAAGAGAGTTCGATGTTTAAGGTAATGAGTTGAAACAAGCAACTAAATACTGTATAATTCATAGATTCATGATCTTCCTTCATAATTTTTGATAGGAGTATGAAACGACTATTATAATATGTTGTTATTACACTGTTATACATACGAATAAACTTTTTATAAAGCTTTTTACTACTATTTTCCAGAGGGGATTAATTAATCTGAGCTGAACTCAGGAAGGGAAATATGACTAATATATCCCGATATTTGCTTCTTAATTGTAATTGTCGTACAAAAAAGGTTATCGAAATGTGAAATAATGAAAAAGTAGTCGCAGATTACTAAGCACTATGCTCTTTCCGAAACTAATTTTTGACTTACTATGTTAGGGTTACGATGCCTCTCACCTTTCATTTGTATTTGCTCGCAAAATTATATTAACTATAATTGACTTTTTTGCTAATTTGCCAGAAATTATTTGTATTTTACGGTAATAAAATAAAAACATAACAAACGATTATGATGATAGTCGGAAATGTGAGGAAATGTTTCTTAAAAAAGAATATGATGTCAGTAAGGACATGGTATCGGCTACCGTTTACTTTCTTGATTTCTACGATTTAAATATTTCTTTAGATTAAGACCTTTTTCTATCCTCCTAATCCATCGTTTTGCAGCTGTCCGGTAGCGCTAAATAATTTTTAAGATCTAAAAACTTTCTGTGCGATAAAAAGATGCTGTGAAGAGATAGACATAATAAGTCACGGAATGAAGAAATGTAAACCATTGGATCCAATGAAATGGATTGTTATTTCGATCATTTCGATTTCATTAAGAGGAGATGATTTTCCCAGGCGTAATAGTAGCAAACTGATGTTTCGATCAACTGGAATCAATTGCGTTAACAGGAATAAAGTTATGTCTCAACATGCTTAATCCATTAAATGATAATAGGACAGCGTTCTGTGACGATGATAGGTTGGATGGAATAAGGGAAGTGAAAAGTAAACACATTCCTAACGAGTTGTGAAGAGTCAAGTATGCGTTCTTAATCTGTCAATGGTATGCGTTCTTAATCCGTTAATGGTATGCGTTCTTAATCTGTAAATGGTTTTTCTGTCTGGTGTGGTGTGTCTAAGAACAAGCAGCTTCTATTAGTAATGAATAGTGTTATTCTTTCTTCTTACGCTTATAAGTCGCTTATGATCCTTTTTTAGTAACCTAAATTGCTTTAATTTAATTAATCGTTGATTATTAAATTAAAATTTATTGATGGGGAATTGTTTGGATATAACGATGATAAAATTTATGTTTCTCAAGTGATGTGTCATTGTCCATTTTATTTGTATGTTACTTTTTATTTTTTTTCCATTGTGATATAAAGAATGATGAAGTCAATATATTTATATAAAATTCATGAGATATGAGATTTTGTAATCTTTGTTGCTAATATTTTCGATGTGCTATGTATCTGTGTTATGTTTTAAATCACAGCTACCATTTATGAAGATAAATAATTTGGAAGTTTTTCAACATTTCAGCGTGCTAGAAATACAGAAATTTTAGGTAGTGCACGAAGTCTTAGCTTGATGAAAATGGTTTCGTCTAAATATTTTTCAGATTATGCTGAATTCATGTGTTGTTTACGTTTTGGCTACAAGAACTTATATGTGTGAGGAACCATTCTTTAATTTACTATAAGCCTTGCAGCGATCAGCTGTGTCAAATTCAAATAGATATGATATATATTAGTTTTCACTTACTGCATCTATATAATAGTTTTTCTAGAATAAAGTTTGGAACAGAGTGAAGGAAATTGAGGTGATCGCTCTGGGCGTTACTCATATCGTGAACATCGTCGCTTTTATAACCAACCTTTTTTGACATGAAACAATCATGAATGGGTTTTATTCATCAAGCTGGTTTCTTGGCCGATCCTTGAACCATTTAAAGCTCTTAGAAAGTTCCAAGTAACTTAGAAACATGCGAAATTTTAATGCTCTCCCGTAAAGATTGTTTCGTTGGATTTTTTGTTTGGTTAAGTCTATTATAGGTCCACTTTCGCTTGCTACATTTTATGCATTGATAAAAAAAAACCACTTTTTACAGCTTTTGACATTTGGTAAGTAACAAAATACCAATTCATGTTACGACGTGCCCTTTCTGTGTACAGTCGTATGCTGCTGAATCAGGTTCGATTTTTATCACTTTGTTATTACCTAATCTGATTTATGGTTTCAACAGTTGAAAGGGTTATATGAATTATGTAGTTACAACACTTCTTATGCAGCTATCTGCCGAATCTTGATATAATGGTGCATCAACTTCCGAGAAAAATGTTCAATCTCTGCTGTTTTCTGATTTTGCTGTCTTAGATTTTAATAGTTTTGAATAAATACTAGAAAAAGATGGGAGAGCACATTACTTCTTTCACATCTTCACTTCCACACCTGATGAAACAAATTAGAGCCAACCTGCAGCAGGTCTGCATGTTAATCACTGATCTGCGTCATACACGTGAATTGTACTTGATAACGAAAACATATACTTGGGAGGTTAAAAAAACCAGAGGAAGAAAGCGGTTGGTTTGAGTGATTTTTATAGTGCTTTTAGGCAAATGGTAAAAGGTTATTGCTCAGCAACTTATGTATTGCTCAACGCCAAAGATATTTTGCTGTTTCACAGTTACTGATTCCACAAAACTGGTCATTTTATTACTTTGATGTCGTTGGACGATTGCATACAAGCCAGTCATGTCGTTCGTTTTTCTCAGATATAATTGAAATCAAATTTATGAAGAGATCAGTGAAAGTGACTGTTGTGAGTAAAACTGTTTGATAGGATATCTTTTGTTATGTATTCTGTAACAATTTCATAAATTTAATATTTAAATTAATCAGCGAGATTCCAGACGTTGATATCATAGAAGTGGAAGGACCTGCTTTCGCGGAATCGATCTCCGAAGGGGATATAAGATGGTTGAAACGTTAGTTTTCAAATAAAAATTTGTTTTTGTTTTCTGTTAATCTATTTCTGATTTGTTGATCTATTTCTATTTTGCCACTTCCTAATGTAGAGAAATGTCATGAATTATAACTCGTTAAACGCTTCAATATTCACCGATTTTGAAATAACTTGTAGAATATGACTCGTTTCAGAAAAGGGTGATTTTGTCAATCGAGATGATCTGGTTGCTGAGATAGAGACTGATAAGGTTAACTCTTCTATTTTTAGGTTATTTTTATTGAAATGCAAATAAATTGCAGCAATTAGACAGTGAGTTATTAGTATGAAACATTCCACATCTTTTAGACAACCGTGGAAGTGCCAGCCTCACACTCAGGAACGATAGTTGAACTTTTAATAGAAGATGGTGGTCGAGTAGTTGCCCATCAGAAGTTGTATAAATTAGAAGTTGGAGGAGGTAAGCCATGATTTATTTTTAGATGACTACGATCGTATTCTTCTCACAAACACTGCATTCCATTATTTCGACAGTTTCCTTGAAGATCCAAACTCAGATCATGTATCCTTACTTTAAAGGCTGATAATACTTTAAATTTCGCTTTAAACTTCACGAGTGATAACTATGGACTTTTGACGCTTAAAAACTGCTGTCTGTACATTAATTGTGGGGTATTTTTTATAAATTGTCGCGACTATAGAATAATTATATTTTCAGAAGCACCTGCCAAGAGTGCAGGAGAGACGAAGAAATCAGTGGAACAGAAAACTTTTCCTTCACCATCGCCAAAGTCAGAATCAGTGCAGACACCAGCGTCACCTAGTCTAGAAGGTGAAAAGCTACATCTAGTATATTTTCCATCTTGACCTATTTTGAATTTATCGAATTATTATGATTCGACAAGGAATTTTAAAAACATATGACCTAGTGAAATGAGATTTCACATTCATATCTGAGATTTGTTTTAGAAAAGCCGATTGCTCCTCCATCCCCAGTGAAAATTGCAACTTCTCAACCTAAGCCAGAACCTCCTTCGGAGAAAATTCCATCTGGCACTGATCAAAGTGTCTTTACTAGTTCAAGAAATGAGACACGTGTAAAAATGAACCGAATGCGTTTGAGAATAGCACAACGATTAAAGGATGCTCAGAATACTTATGCAATGCTTACCACTTTTAATGAAGTAGACATGAGGTATTCTCACTTCTTATGTTTTATTTACCTATTTTTTGAAGTATTTTCTGAACAGTTTCTTTTAGATAATTTAGCGATGTGTAATGAGTGATGAAAAGATAAAGGAATGAAGTTATTAACTTCGAGAAGTTTCCGATTATGGCACCCTTAATGAGGCTAAGATAATCAGGCAATTATAAGCTACAAGTGATTAATTAAATTGACTTGAAAAGTTTAATTTGATAAAAGATAGACTTTCAGCAATGTGTTAGAAATGAGAAAACGCTATCAAAAAGAATTTATCGCAAAATATGGCATTAAAATCGGACTAATGTCCCCATTTATTCGAGCATCTGCTTATGCGTTACAAGAATTTCCAACCGTTAATGCAGGTGAGTTTTTTTATTTGATGTTCTGGAGATTCATGTTGGATCACTTGATTTTATTTCAAGATTCGAAATTCAATCTAATTCTATAGATTTCTGTTTCGTTCTTATTCAAATCATACAATTATTCTTTTGCATCTGTATCTTCTTGATATTGCAAATTTTCTATCTCTGTCTATACCTGTCAATGCAAGAAAGAACTTCGATCGGTTAAATCGGTTAGTAATCATGACAATTTTGATAAAGTGACCACTAGAAAAAAAAGCAGTTTTGCTTTATTTTAGTAATCGATGAAGGCGAGATACTGTATCGGCATTATATCGATGTATCAGTTGCAGTCGCTACACCAAAAGGTCTGGTAGTGCCGGTGATACGTAACGTTGAAACGATGGATTATGCAACTATCGAGAAGACATTGAATGAATTTGCAATTAAAGTATTTTCCTGTTTTTATGGCTTGTGGTATTTTAAAAATCATGACTAAAGGTGCAAGTTTATTTATGCTTGCAGTTTTTTTCCACCTCTCTTATTATTTATAGATACTTCGGTCTTTTATTTGACTTTAATAGAAAATAAGAGGAGAAAATTGGGAAGGATTTTAATGTTTTTATAGTTTATCTTACATTGATTAATGTGAACTTTGACTGATTAAAGGTGCTACACATTCTTCTTCTTGCTTCAAATGGGACCGGAGTTTGAAGTGAAAATAAGGAGAAGGACCTAAAGAGAATAGGAAACTAGGAAAATAAGATAATGGTAGAGAGAAGCTGAATTTTGGCTCCATAATAAACATTTTTAAACTCCAATTCATAAATATTTTGCCGAATTAAACGTTTAATTTTATGCTCGGGACGGCAAGCTTGCAATCGAAGATATGGAAGGTGGAACATTCACAATCAGTAATGGCGGTGTTTTTGGCTCAGTGTCTGGAACACCAATCATCAATCCACCACAATCAGCAATTCTCGGGATGCACGGCGTCTTTGACCGACCAGTGGCAATAGATGGAAATGTTGAAATACGCCCAATGATGACTATAGCACTGACATACGATCATAGGTGATCGTTTCCTTGTTTTCAAAGTTAATTTATAATAGTATTTCATTTAATCTAAATGAAATGTTTTTGGTTCAGCGCAACAACATAATTACCTTTGTAAACGTTTCATTTATGTTTCATTATTTTAGGTTAATTGATGGTCGCGAAGCAGTTACTTTCTTGAGAAAGATTAAAACTTCAGTTGAAGATCCACGGACCATTTTGCTAAATTTGTAGAAACTTCTTAGGCTAATCTATATATTTTAATTATTAAGATCAGGGTTTCTTTTTTGAATTTAAATATGGATTGTATAGTTGTAGATTTGATAAAGCTCTATTGTGCAACTGGCCGTATTATCTTATTGTGTCTTCTTCTCTCTTTGTATTAATTATAACATTCGGAATTATTTTTTGAACTGGATGCATCGGAAATTTTTAACATCTAGAAAATTCCTATCGCCTTTCTAGTATCTAAACTTTTCAAGGTACAAGGAATTTGGGATGTTAAAGTTTCTAGTAATGTTCGAAAATTTGCACTTAGTGCAATTGAATTTCTATAATATTAAGGCGCGGTAAATATTTAATTTATATTCCTTGAAACAAATAAACTGTGCTACATACTCTTATTTTAGCTCTCTGCCAATTCGTTTTTCGAACTTTTTTATCTTAAAGTTATATTAAACTACTGCTAACGACTTATTACCATCGTTCCATATTTATTGAAATTGCCATCCTGATTATAAATAATCATTTCGTAAAATACTGTACAGAATTTCATTATTGTAGGTTTGGCTAATAATTCGATGAAATTACCATCAATGAAGTATTACCTCCGATTATATCGTTCATTGTTTGTTGATTAATTGTGTTTTCTCGTCATTAAATATTTGGAAAATTTGGTATGGAAATTCTATGTTTTACAAAATAAATTAATAATGGTTCCAGAAATTTTGTGAAAGAAATTGTAAAGCATTCAGTTCACGTTCATTTTCTAAATGCTTTAGATTGCATCTATTTTAAGAGTTTTTTGAAAACCTTCAAGTTTTCGCGATATTGATATACGGATCAGTAAATGTAATTGAAATAAACAGGGTAGAATTAATGTAAAACATGGCCAAGGCAAAATATGTAATTTTAAATGTGTTGTTTTTCCCATCTTTTTGATGCCGTATTTTCGATGAAGTGGACTTCAAATTAACAGCACTTGTTGCATGGGAAGAAATCAATTGATAGTTTTGGGCTTATACTGCAGTATATGATAATGTTTTAAATCATCAGTATTTCGGTCTTGAAGCTATGACTTAAGACTTGATGTATAGCTGAAGCAATTCACACGTAGCTTCCGTGACTTCGTCGATGTTTGAATAGTTCTCCAATTCCAGCATTAAGGAATGGTGGCTATGGTTGGTAATTATGCTCATGGATTCAGGGTCAGTTAGTCCTCTTTGTTCGTCCGACGAATCACCAGGGATTACTTTGCTGGTTTTTTTTTAGCTTTCAGCATTTTTTTCAGCATGGCTGTTGATGTGAATCATAGATTAGGCTTCATACAATCATTCGTTTTTTTGGATATAGAAGCCAGTGGGCTTTTCCCAAACGATGCATTGAATCCACTAGATGATCCACCGATTCCAGGCAGTCAGAGGGATTTGTCTCAAACACTACGCAATCACATCAGGCTTAGTAAGTATTTTATTTGTACTGATTGTTTAATTGAACTGTCGAGGTTTTCTGGAGCTAATTAGATTAGAACTCATTTGGTTTGCGTCACATCTTAATAAATCCTGAATTTTTATATAAACTAGAGCTTTACTTATGCCTTCTGTTCTTTCTTTATATAATTAGCAATTTCCATCACTTTAATGATTTCAGCTAATTCCAATCAAGCCCCTCATATTATGGAAATCAGCCTTATTTCGGCTACGAGAAAAGCAGTTTTATCTGGGATTCGAAAGATGGATCAATTGATGAATAGTGAAGCGAGTGATGAAGTAACACGTTCCAGGTTAAGTTCCAGGCCCATTAGTTTTCGAATTCCATGCAACATCCACTCTGCACAGGTCTTGTTCTGCATGTCGTATTGTTTTTTTACAACCGGTATTGTAATTTTTTTTATTATGTTTGGATAAAAGTGAACTGGAAATCCTGTAACTGCTTGGAAGCATCGTAGGACAGTACACAGTAGTTTTTAATGGATTAAAGTTAAGAATTATATTTCAATTAAATTATATTCGTGTTGTGTTTTGCAGGTAAAACCTAAAATGAACCAGAGAGAGTGGGCAGAGTACGAAAAAGGACGACTCCGGTACAGCGGTAATTTGCATACCCTCAAACTTTTATACTTTCATTTCGCTTTCCCTTCATTTAGAACATACTTTGTGCAGATTGATGTTATCATTGGACGTAAAATCGATCATACTGCTTTCACCTTTCTCATTCTCAGTTTTTTTAAAGAAAATGCTTTCAGTTTTTGTTTATTGTCGAGAGGACTTAGAAGACAAGAACGATTTTAGTACGGAATGGAAAGGAGTAAAACTTTTTTTGGAACAAACACGGAAGCCGGTTTGCATAATCGCTCACAATGGACTAAGGTTTCATCTCTTTTCTGTCCTTCTATTAATATTTTTATAATACATTAGACGTTTGTTTATTATTTAAATCAGTAACTAATTTTTACCAATTTTTTAGATATGATTTTCGTCTACTCCATGCAGAATTTGAACGAAACGGTCTTCTGAATACTAATCCTATTCCTGACCAGGTGTCACTTTTTCTTTTTTGCTGCAAATCTTTAATGCTAATTATTCACTGAAATATTACTTCTATGGTACATGACCTAAAATAAACATGACCTGAAATTTATTGAGTCTAGAAGTCTATTTCCATTTTATTTGATTTTAAATGTGTTCTAAATCAAAAAAAGATTCGATTTCACTTCGAGCATTTTGTTTTAGGTTTATTTTGTAGATTCCTATCTCATGTTTCTGGATCTGGAAAAAAAGTTGCATGACGAATTGCGGACTGCCGTGCAGCTATTAGATTGGAGTCGCTGTATGCTATTTAATATTCATTTATTTTAATATTTTCTGCAACATGAAACTAGTTGTAATAACAGACAAGCTGGAACAAGAAAAAGTTTATTTCTTAAAATGTCCCATGTTTACTTCCAGCAGCATTATGATATGCAACATATCGGATAATTTTATGTTAGTGTTTTCGGCATATATAAAAAATGAAAATCCACCATTGTCACCACAGAAAATGTCGTTTTGTTTAGTAGGTGCAAGTTCGCAAACTCACACGGATATTATTTCTAAACCATTAGGCACATCCGAAATAAAGATCTCCACAATGGTGTCCAAGAGTGATATCCCGACTGTTACCGAGGAATCACAGGATACCACATTTGTTGTTCCAGTTGAGTGTACAACTAGAAGCGAACCGAAAAGGTTTGTTGAATTAATTGAAGTTGTCAGAAACTTTGATTTCACTTTTCTAATTTCTGTTCCTGTAGCAGGTCTTTAGGCTATCCATTTTCAATTTGACGCATTTTAATTAAGAGTTTGTACAATTTTCATCAAATCGTAGACGATACTAGTGGTGATACAACCTGGGAATTAGTAGTTTGTAAATCACCACATGATCATTTCCCTGTTAATATGATTACGTGCAGATTTGCTAGAAGGCGGCTTTTTATCCAAACACCGGACGACCATCCATTAAATTTTATCCGTACGACTAAATGGTCACCAGCTAAAAAGAAACGTGTTCTGCCGAATCTTTTTAAGTAAGTTATCTCTGTCGTTCGAATGCATGCCGAAATTTCCGACTGTGATTTATAAATTTTATGGATTTTTAACTGCTGACAGAGAATGTTGAATATAGGTCAGAACTTATCTAATTACATATTTTTTAATACAGAACTTACAAGTTTACGAAGAGTGATTAAGACTTTATTGTTATCAGAATTATTGTTTTGTATAGTTCCAGTTTGAATTACTTTTAGACGTTCCAGTGAAGGTGACTGGGTGTTCAATAATCATTTTTCGGTTGCATATTTCCATGAGAAAGGTGCTTTCAAATTGGAATCTATGTATAAGCAGGTTATTCCATTATTAGAATCCTTATTTATGATTTTTTAAATATGAAGACTTTCAGAAGCACTCAAATTTTCAATGCAGAATATAGATCAAATTCTTTCATTTATTTTACCAATTGACTGATCTATCGGCAAGTCCAACTCCCTGGTCCAGCTGCATTTTTTTTATAACGCACGACATTATATTTATTAGTTTTAAGCTTTCAAGAATGTTTCAATCCATCTATTATCGCTCACAGTAGCGAAACGGATTCAGAATGAGATGGAAGATGTTTTTTCATACGAAAAAAAATTTTTTATCTAATGATATTATTTTGAATTTAATTGGGAATCTACTGCGTTTTTTAGTTATTAAGTGGCGATTATGATGCCCACTTTGCTAGAGATGATTGTGAAGCTTTGTTGAAAATTTGCATAGCATATGGAGAAGAATTTGTGGAGTACGTGGACACGCATGCTGTTAAATTTCCATTTTAGGAAGAAGCATAAGTAATGTATTAAAAACTATCAATCGTATCCTGTTTATCAGCAAGATGTATTGAAACTTTTCTTTTAAAAAATTTTGCATAGCATATGAAAAAATACTGATTTTTTCTTACTTTGATCTAGAAACACATAGCAATTGAAGAGTTGGGGATATAAAAATGACAATGAATTCGGTGGAATTTTTTTTTACTACCCTTATTTTACTTATCCGTCGTTTCAATTTATTATATCTTTATTTGCCTGTATTATATATCTTTATTTGCAAAGTATCTGACTTGAATCACTTACAGTTTCCTCCATTGTTCAAGTTCATATCAAATCTCTTATGTTGGCCATTTCAATTTCTCTCTTAGTTCCTCGTTTCTTGGAGAAAGTTAAATTTCTGATAAAAATCCCATTATTTGATTCCTGGAAGAATTATTTTATTTGTTAACGCATGAGCTTGCAAGTAGTATAAAAAGGACTGTGTTTATTTGCATTCTTTAAGATTATGTTGTACATATCTTGTAAGATTATGTTGTACCTATCTTCTTCTTTTGATGATTTTTTATTTTTGATTGTGAGCTATGCTACTTTAAAACTGTTCATTGGTTTCACTGCGGAAATTAATTTTTCATTTTGTTTTACGCTTATATCTGTTTACATTGGATCAAATCTAAACAAAACGTTTTTTTCATTTCTTCAAGATTGATGTTATAAAATAACTATTCCAAAGGTAATAATAAATCGAAAGAAATACGTCAACCTATGCAACATCATGCTACTGTCGAATGTGATCCATAATTGTTGATATAGCGGAGAAGAGAATGATTGATGTATTATGAGACATTGTTTCTCCACAAAACTTGTATCACATTGAGGAAATCTGTGATGTCAGTTACATCAACAATTAATGGATGTTGCATGTCTACTGAAAACATGCAGCCAGAGTACATCTTGGAACGACAAATATCAAATGATGATTATCACTTTTTTTGCCTGGAACTAAGAAGTTTTGTCGACAAGTAACAACTTTTCATTTTATTCGACAGAATTAGAAATTTTTCATTAGATGTTTGCAAGGAAATCACCATGATATCTTAATAAGGATTAATCAATCGAACGAAAAAAGATGCAACTCCTATCATACGTTACTTCTACAATTAGGCAGGATTCACTGATAGAAATTTAAAATACCCTGTTGATTTTTAATATTGCTATATTGAATGGAATAATAGCTAAGAGATAGTGCTTTCACATGTATGCTATTATCTTCTCGAATTTTCAAAGTGTTCAATTTTAGTCAGGAAGATATAAATGAGGAAGAGCAATGAGATGACAATGATTGATACATGTTTATAGTAAGAAATTAGCTATGTAAAAGATATAACTTCACAACATTCATTTCCTATTACTCTGCGACTTATTGAAGTTTGTTCAATGCTATTGCTGAAGTTTTCTATAATTATTTTCATCACAAAGTACATCATTATTTTTTCGCAATTTCATCATAAGCAATTGATCCTAATATTGTCATATTGAATAGAATGATAGCTAAGAGGTGGTACTTTCAATTTTATCCCTTTTATAACCATGTACTCTTTTGCGCTTCCAAACTTCTTAAATGTTAATTGCACTTTCTCTTTCTTTCATTACTCATCGTCCATTGGTCAATTTTTTGGTTGTATGCTTATCCATCCATCTTATCTATTTATTTGATATGATATGAAATTGTCAATACGAAATGATGCGCATCTTTTGCCTGGTTGATTGGTCATTCAAGGCCGAGGAATGAATGACATTTCTAATGTATATTTCTTCATTCACTACATGCCAATATTTTATTTAAATGTATTGATATGAAAGATTTACTCAAAAAAGGATATTTTTTAAATTAAATTTTATTTCAAATATTACTGATGTATGTGTTTGGATGTTTCTTTTTCAATTTTCATAAATAGTTTAGTGAAGGTTTATTTGATGATACTATGAATAAAGGTCAAAGAAGAATGTTGATAATGTGAATGAAAGAAAGAAAGAAAGAAAGAAAGAAAGAAAGAAATGAAAGAGCAAAAGGATAGACATTCTCAGTAATACATGAGGAAAGCAAAATATAAATGAAGTACAGAGATAGAATGAACTTTCTTCATTCAACTTTATATTTTTCCTCTACATGCCTTTTTTTAGGTTTAAAATTTTTTAAAAAAATTGATCATGGATGCATATGTTATGCCTACTTACTATTCTATTGAATTATTTACCCCAAATTAATGTTTATAATCGTATAATCTTAGTATATGAATTAAATCGATATTATCATAGTATCAAATGTTTCAAGAAATATATTATGAGTGGAAAATAACGGTAGCATATGAAATTTCAACTTTTTCAGCTAAAAATTTCATACTAAGATCAATGCATAATTCTTTATAGTTATTTCAAAATTAGAAAGGAAAGAATTTTATGAGAGAGAAATTTAAAAAGATTTAAAATTTGGAATTATGAATCGTTAGGAAATAATTTTGTTGCTAAAGTGAGATAATTCATTTTAACTGATTTTGATGATATGTTGCTATATGTTATCAGTCAACGGCTTAAGACTATATAGCATATGCTGCTATTTAATTCAATTTATCATAGCAACAGCTCGACAATCGTTTGATGAATTATTTACACCTGTATATCAATCGTTCTATCAATTGCTTGGGCGCTTTTTTCCTCCAATGATACTTTATTTTAATGATCAATTATTACTCATTGCTAATATTAGTGTATTTCATCTTATCTTTTAGCGATTAAGGCCTTGCTTTATTTAGCACTTCACTTTCCCAAGAGATTTGATGTCTTGAAAAAGGATATGGAGTTATTTTATACTCAATTGTTCAATTTTCAGATGACATATTACAACGAAAATGTGCAACCGGAATTATTTCAATCTATAAAGGTATGCATGTGAAGTATTGCAAGTGTTATATTTGCTTATTTTCAAACTTCAAAATCTTTCCGGACCAACCTGACTTCAATACCGTATCATTTTCCGCGATACATTTTGTTGCATACAGGTTGCACGCGAATGTGTAGGTGTGCAATAGATGACATGGTGTGTGAGTTTTGCGGTAGTTTAAGATAAAGGTTAATGGGTATAAGGATTTCTCAGAAGAGAATAATTTTGGTCAATTAAGGGAGTTTGGGAGCGTCATTCAGCATTTGAAATTAGATAAATTGAACTTCAAGTGTAGTATTTCTCCACATGCTGTGTCTTACTTATTGTGCATTATTGAGAGAACAACGTTAAAATTTATCGAGTGATCTTTTCAGAATCGGGCTTCAAGAGTCCGGCTTGCTAGTTTTAGTTAAACCTGCCAATACTTGTGCAGAAGTTTCTTTTGTCTTGTGGCCTTATTGTCTCATAATGAATGCTGCTTTTCTTACTAAACAATTGAAATATTCCGTATACTATACTTCCAGGCAACAATTGTTGTTCAAAAGCTTGAAAATGATGAATTAACAGAAGAAATGCAAGAATCTTCCGACAGTGAAAGTGAAATTGAACCATCCGTATACGAAAGACGAAGAGAGTTAAATGCTTGGCGAACTGTGTTAGCGGAGAAGCTTTTCATTGAGGTCAAAAAAAAGCTTTATGCTGAGAAATTAAAACAGGTGATTTTTTTCAACTTCTCGTCCTCACATTAAATGAAGCTTGCAGATCATAAGCTATAGATCTCATACATGAACAATGGATCAAGCTTTCGGTAGATTTAGCTTTGGAATGGATTTTGCAGACATAATAACTTGGCATGGATGAAGTTTTTGCACACAGATGTGGAAATGTGGAAATTGTTTGATTTGGTAAAACTTGATCTCATTTGGTATTGTCGAGGATTTTTTATTAATAAATATAAAATAGTGCACTATTTTCATCTGTTACAGCTGGAGAAAAGACAGGCTGAAGTTTTGAGCCAAGAGGCGGCAGATTTTATCAGGAAAAAGGAAGAAATTCTTAAGGAATATCATGATAGACTGCAGGTAAAGTGTTTCGTAAAGTGTTTTGTTAAAGTGTTTGTTTAGTTTTGTAGATTTTCTAATCATATATTACTAAATGAAGGAAGGAGACGAGTTTTATCCTGCTCACCATTCTTTGATTCTTTTTGTAGTAAAGTACGACATAGATTTTTGGGCCAATATCATATATATTCCCCTTTTCGCCCTCCATCCCTCCCTCCTCCCTCATCCCTATAAGGGATATAATTTGCTAAAACCTAAGACAGGTAAAGAGATAAGAAGAATGCTGGTTAGGAAACTAATAATTTCTCTTACTCCTTCGTTAATTAGATATAATTTTCATCAAAACAAATGAACGTTTCTATTTTATTTCAACCATATTATTAATAAATTGGTTTCCTCTTGTGATTTGAACACAAGTACATTTCAGTACATTGAGGTTGTTCGGGCACTACGGACCGAATCACTAAAAAGACGTACTATCGGTCAGTTAGAGTGTGCCCAGCAGAATTTAAATAACAATAAACGGATGGCTTATGAAAAAATCGAAGCAAATATTTTGACGATGATGCAAAAGCTAGATGATGACATGAAAAGATGCACAAGGGACTATGTAAATTTTTGTAGAGGTATTGTTTTTTTTCTATTTTTTTAGTAACATATTGCGATGCTACCTTTTTGTTTTAAAAGCAGACATCCTTTCGCAGAATTAAAACATCGTCCCTTTGCATTCTGTGAATAACAACGGTTGAAAAGTGTACAAGTGGAGGGGTAGAAAGGAAGAGGCGTATATCTTCAATCAAACATCATGTCCACAGGGGAAACCAGTTGATGCTGTGATATTTGTCACATACTATTACAGTTATTTCAATTATTTTAGAATTCGAACGAAGTAGGGAACGAGAATGGAGGAAACGAAAGCGTTATCCAGTGGCCAGTGTAATTGAGCGCTTATTGGGTGATGCGGTGTCATCGCTGATGGATTCATATAATGAAAATGTTGACGAGGATCTCTATGTTTGCGAACAAGCTTTAAGAGCTGTAAATGGACGAGAAAATTAACAATAGTTTTATCTAACTACCGTGGAGCTGACTGACATGCAAGGTAAAAGATATCCTATCATTACTTAAAAAAAAATATGAGATCTCAAATATCAAGAAAAATTAATTTTTGCTACACGAAAGTGTCATAAGTGCATTATTTTAATATTCGTCTTTTATTTAAGCAATAAACAGAAGCTTAACGATATGTTAGGAACAAACCAATTAAGGTGATATATTCAATTAAAAGGATAAAATGAATTTTAGTGGGAAAGAGTCTATTTCCTTCATCGAAATGGTAGCTTTTCGATATTTCGTAATTACTCGATGACTTAATGTCTATCCAAGTTAGCAAAATTATGAATTAATTGTTTCTACGCACGAAATATTAACTTGTTATTGCTGTTTTTCCAAACGTTTATTAATATTTCAGACCGTATTGCTGGTCCGTGCATTAGAAGTTGCACTTTTGAGTAGATGAACGCAATAAGAATGAGCTCAGCCTATGAATTTAGGATTCAACTATTTTAAAAACCAAAACATACTGCATATTTCTTATATAATGTCAATTATTGAAAGCTTATATACTATATTATTTAACATTTCCTCAGGGTCATGATAATTACTGGAAGTGATTATCAGTATTAGGACATTATCAATTTCATTCTTGTAAAGTAGAGTTAAACTCATACATTTCTGTTCATTTGATTTGTTTGATTCATATTGACTATGCTTTCACTCTTATCACATGATTGTATTACGCCAAATGAGATTGTTTGATATTGTGATAATAATTGTTCAGCCATCGAGAGACATGTTTTAACAGCTGCTGAAAAATGACTGTGAAAAGATATATCGATTGATTTCATCGAGTATTCTAAAAATATAAAAAGATAGATTCGTTAAACAGCTATAATCTTTCGATAATATATATTATTGGAGGTTTAATCCAGGAACTTTTTTTTGTTTTACTGTGTTTTACAAGCTCTCCTTTTGAATAGTGTTAAATTGGCATATGAAATATTGCCTTGTATGTGAATATATCAAGTGACTGTTATTCTTCAGTAGAAGTTGTAAAATGTGATTTTTAATTCTTACAGTGTTTGTACATTTTTTTGTGTTTATTATTATTTATAAGAATAGAGATGATAACTCAACGCATCTCTTTGTTGCATTCTCAGTTTCTTGAATGTTCTAAAAGTGCGGTGATTGATTGTCCCCAATAATGTTTGCGATCTAATTCGGAATGTTTCCCTGAAGCAAAGCTGTTGTTTAATTTCCCGATTATTCAATCCATTACATCTTATCTCAACAAAACTATATTGGAGATTTTCTTTAAGGCACCGAAAAAGGAATTTTGTGCCTGATTTTTTTTACTTCTTTTGCATGTTATTGTGTATTTTGTGAAGTATTGAATTTTTTTGCCATAAGTCAAATAAAAGCACTTCATGGATCGATGGTGTCTGTTTTCCTATTCATGACGAACCAGCATTTGTCAGAAGCAAAATGTGGAAACAACGTATCTCCCTTTTCTTCTTTAGATCACAGAAAATTTATTAGCGGGTGAGGAAAAGAATTTTTCTCATTAGTTTCGATCCTGGTTATTGTTATTGTTTGATTGGGTCTGGTAGTGAAAGTATAATTTGTAGGGTGTAAGGTTGTACTTTTTGGAGTGGTGATAATAATGCTTCTTGGAATGGTGTTGGAGGTTCCATTAGGTATTTAGCATCAGATCTAAAATATATTTTCACTTTGAAATAGCCATGCTATTGAATATACTTATGGAAGGTTTTTAAGATGAGTGAGAAAGATGAGGTGCAGTGTAGCAAGCTCCAGAAGTTGATTTCTGATGGTATGACTGCTGTTTGTGCAGAAAATAATGATGGAAGCTTACAAACATCACAGCTTCAACCTTCGACAGCAACGGTTGATATTACTGATGATTTTTTTATAGAATGTAAAAGTGAGTTTCAGGTGCTTATCGCTTTTCTTTAGAATGATTCAATATTTTTAAATTTTATCGATAAGGAAATCGAATTGAGAGGATACAGAAGGAAGGAGAAATGTCCACTAAAGTGTTTAAAATCAGTTTAGAGAAGAAAAAAAATAGAGAATTCAGTTTGCTGCCCACATATGGGTTTGGTTCGTTAAACATATTTCCTGACCATAATGAAATGTAGCATTCATTATCAATTCATTAATAAAAGTATTCATTATCAATTCATTAATAAAATTTTTAGAACTAAATAATGGAGAACTGGTAATGGCCGATGATTTTCAACTCTCAGAGGCAATGAGTGCAATAGGTTGGTTCTTCATTTAACGAGATAGTTGGATTGTGAGCAATATTGTCATGCTTCCTATCCATCGTTAAATTCCAAGACAGTTTTCGGTTCGAAATGTGTTAGTTCAAAAAGTTTCCTTTGCGAAAAAAAAAGTTTCCTTTTTCCTTTGATGTGTTAGTTCCAAAAGTTTCCTTTGCGAAGTCAAAGTTTTTTCCTACTTCTGCTTTAAAAGGGAGTCCATACTTTTATTCAGAGTGAGTCCTAATTGCTAGAAATCCATGCTTTCTTTATTCAGAGTGAGTTCTAATTGAATTTTTTTGCAAAAAAATTTCAGTATTTAGAAAAAAATTCTAGAACTTATGGATCCGAAGATGGATATTGGAATGAAACCTTTTGATCCATCGATAGCTTTTGAGAGTTTAGTTGCTACTGGTCGCCTGAATATCACCAATATGGATGAGCGGGAAATGATAGCGACAATGGATGCTATGTTAGCTTCACTGATTTCGTGGCTTGACGGCAATTCCATTGCACAAACGGTGAGCATTGGAATCCTTCTGTAAGAAATATACTGATGCGGAATTTTATTTTTTAGATGAAAATAGTCACATTCATTGCCGTAATGCTAGTGCTTATTTAAGAAAACATATAGGTTAGTTTAATATATATTCATATATATTTGATATAGGATATCAAAGGGTTAGTTTAAGCTTTATGTGCTGAAACTTTATTTTATTGCTCGGCTTTACCTTCAAGTCGAGTTTGTTTGCCACTGCTATCTATTTCTGAAATAATATATTCCAATATATTGATTGCATTTTGCAGTTGCTGACATGTGTTTTCTTAAATCACATGGATTCGGTAACCGATTCTGTGTTATCAGCTTTTTCATATGGTGTCTTGGAGCTTACAACAGTTTTTCGTCATATTATACAGATGGCTTCTGTTTATGAAGAAGTACATATTCCTCTACTTTGTTTGAAACCCAACTGTGTTGCGTTTTCTTTAGGACTGTTTAGTTAAAAGGACTTTTAATGGGAAAGAGAAAGATGATGTTACTCTGAGTTGTTGCAATTTTGAGGATCCATTCATAAAGATAGTTTCACCAGAACCTTACAAGCTGAAGGTAGCACAACAGTCTTTCATTTCTAGCAAAGCTAAGTCTGTTCGCTGCAAGTACTTGGAATTAACTTGTTGATAACTAGAAATTTGAACTCTAGGCATCATACTACTCCTGGAATGGTTCTAAAGAGTTTCTAAAAAATTGCACTTACTTGCTTATTCTTTTCTTCTGCTTCTTATTTAATACCCTTGCAATTCTGGCCGCCGCTACATTTTTATTTCAGGAGCGATTTTAATTTTCTATCTCAAATATATGAATTTTGTGTGAATTAAAATTAATTCATTCAGGAAGATTTTAATGGGTATGCAGTACAACTTGATCTGTTGCCGATACCTAAATTGACGAGCTCATTGAAAGCGGCTGAAATTGATTTGCAAAGAAGAATAAAAGTAGATTTATTTCATTGTTTTTTAACACTCACCGACTCATGAGCGATTACTTGGTTTGAGAAACTTGTTTTCGATGAAGGAGAAAGTTATGAAAACAAATATAATCTATTCCAAGTAGAAAAATCAAAATTAAGTTATTCCGATAGCAATTCTTCACAACAGGAAGTTCTAAAATTGTTGCATTTATTGTTAACAACTCGTAAGAGATATTAAAACATTATTGATTATTGAAAGAGTATTTTTTATTGCAGCAAAAACCAGCCAATCAGGAATTATTGGATGCAGTGTTATATCGTATACAGTTCATTCGCCTTATACTTCTTTCACTCAGCTTACTGGTTCAGTCTCCCACGAATTCCTATACCCGATCAAATTCCCACAATTATTTCAGGTACGTTAAATATTCTGGAAAATAGATTCTCAGTACTTAACAGTAACAATATAATTTATGAAAAAGTAAGAATTTTTATTAAATTAAAGCGCTATTTTGTTTGCTTATCCACCAATTAGATTTCAGTGTATACAGCAGCTCTCTCTTGAAAATTTATAAGTTTTTTCTTCGCTGCTTGAAAATTTTTCTTCTTTTATTTAATAAAAGTTTTTATTTAATAAAAAATTGCAAGCTGCAGGCCCAATCTGGAGGAATGTGCTCTACATTTGAACATTGTTTGTTTATTATTGGACAAGATGGAATCAACTATGTCTTTGGGATTACAATCACCGGAAAAAGATGATGGTATTTCATATATTGCTTCTACTTATTTAATTTTAACTTTTCATTTGGAAATTTCACCTGAAATTTTAATGATGCATCTCAGATAACAGTTGGTATATTTTTGAAATTTGCAAAAATATTTAGTTGTTCGTTTTCAATTGATTGCTTTATACGGTTGTTGCACAGCTTTTTCATTTAGTTAATTTTTTTGTCAGACTTTTGATAGTTTTTGCTATGAGTTATTAAAGAATTAATTTTGACGTTTTTATTTCTTTAGAAGATTATGCGTGGTTACCAGCATTCGAACCTGATATAAACAGAAGGCAGTTACCGCCAACATTCCCACGCAACACAAAGATGATAAATCGAACTGAAACTATGCGATATTTGAAAAAAATTTGTTCCAAAATTTCATCTCTCACCACCGAGTTGCCAGCAAAAGTTTCTAATATTGAAGATATCACTGTAATTTTTTTTTGCTTTATCATGAAAACAAGAGTTATTAAAGGGAATATAATTTGTGAGAGTTTTACAATTTCATTTAAAGCTGGAAAGCTCTGAGCACTCTTCTTATCCACTTGATCTACTTTTAAAAATTACTATGTTCTCATCTTTGATTGGAATTAAAAACAATGAAAGAAACCTTTATCATTGTAATAAAAGATACATAAAAACGTCTTTTATCGTTCTCTTGAAGCAATGTGAGGAATCGGAAATTGGAAACGGGGAAGAATGTGCAGCTGATTTACAATTTTGTAGCTATCAATTTTCAGGATTATTTACGGACTTTTAGCTTAGCAGACAGTTGTGTTTTATCTCGTTCGCTGCTACAAATGGTTCTATTTCCTAGTGATGACAATATTTTGGGACGTGTGCAACTTTCTACTGTTATCGTTGATTCAATTCGCATGTTTGCTGCACCACCAGTTCTTGATTCAATGTAACTTGATTTTGGGAATATCAGCATTCATGCTCTGTTTTGATAAACTCTAAACAACTCTGCAGTGTTTTTTTTTTTTTTTTTTTGGATATAATTTCTATTTTTTGCACATGAAAGGAGAGAATTCCTTTTGGCATAGTTTGAAGTCAAAAGTTTTTTGTGCTTATCACTTGAGGTCATTGTTATTGATACACTTTTTGGGCATGAATGATTTTGTTGCAGGAACCAAGCATTTAGCGTAGAACAATGTCACGAATGCTGGGAAGAATTTGTGAACGATTCCGTGAGAGTTTTTCTTGGTGTAATCCAAATGTTTGGATTGAATCCAGCTAGACAACGCGAAAAAATAGTTTGTTGTATAGAGGATTTTTCGACATTGCAAGCTGAGGTTTGTTTCTACCCTATTCTTTTACTGTACACTCCAACTTATTTTGGTAAATTGAAACAAATTGAAAACTTGTGGCCTAGTGTCTTGGTATATTGGTGGTGGTTGTTTCGGTTTGACTCCTGAAACTTAGCTCAGCTTGACAACGAGCAAAAAACAATCCCACCAGTATCCTTTTTCAGTCATCCAAGCCATATTTTACATTTCTCTAAGCTGTACTAGCATTAGAAGGGTTCCTAAATGAAAGAGTTCACTAAGGAAATTGGATCTGTGTTAGATTGCTTAAAATATTTTGCATACATGTATTGTTTAAGGCTGAACGTGCGGAGAATGCATTTGATTTGTACTGCGTCGGCCAAGAATCAACGATAAATCTTTCGTTGACGTCTTTCGTAATGTTGCATACATTATCTCTTATAAAATATCATTTCTATCTATCGTTTTACCTCGATCTCTTCTCCTCATTTGAGTACTCGTATGTTTATTGGTGAGTGCTCTTTTAGTTCTTTCCCCAATAATTAATCCTTTTGCAGTTATAATCTTTCTTCATAAAATTCCAAGTTAGCAGTAGAATTAGATTTGAATGCAGTGATCTGGTTTCTTTCTCTTTCAAATCGTAAGTAGCATGAATTTTCTTTCCATAATTGTTGCAGATAATTTTTAGCTTTAGAATACGAAACTGCGGTGAGAGAATTTGTTGCTTTTTACTAATGAACTGGAAATAATAGAATTAATTGGTTAAAATCATCTCACTGATTTCAATTTTTTTAAAATATTATTTGTTAAATCTTTTTTTTCCGTTCCAGAAAAAAGTGAGATCTTTACAGGTATTTAAGTGAAATTATATTTAAGTGGTTAGTGAATACATTAGATCGCTCTATAACGCTCGTAGCTGCTGGCGAAAAAAGAAGTAAGCTTTTCTAGATTCTTTAGATCTTTTATTACGTATATGTCTTGATTAAAAAATGTTCAATTGGCACTTAAGAAGCACATAACCAGTGATAGCATTATTTAATTAGAAAGGAGCTGAGATGTTTGTTTGAAATTCCAATTAACAAAATAGTATTAAACAAAGTAATTTTGCAGTGGCAAAAGTGCGGAAGAAAAGTGATCGCAAAAAACTGTCGAAATGTAAAAAAGAAATTGAAATGAAGAAGAAAGCTGCAGAAAAGCAGCGATTCTTATTGTTTTATCGAGCACAAGCTAAAGTAGCGGAAGCATTTTTTATGGTTATCTATTTCTCTGAACCTAATTTCTGGGTTGAAAAAATCTTTTGGTCACCATCAGAGTTACCTGGTCATTCAACACGGCATTTCATCGTCATCTATAACGTTTTTGTGTGCTTAATGAAGAATTCTTTAGTTTTCCTGCGAGTTCAATTTGACTTGCTTGAAGCTGGATTTTTGTGGTATGAATTAACACATAGTGATTCTATTTTAATGAAGATATAGTAATATGTTATAGGCAGCAGTTGCCTTGATAGCAGCGGGTAAGATTCGAATGCCTTTATCGGATACGGAACAATCTCGTTTCGAGCATCGCATGTCACCGTTTTCGTCCCTCAACTCTGTTACTTTTCGCATTGCTCTTTTTGTCGAATATGCTCAGTATATTCACATCTCAAGGTCCCTTTTGTGGCATAATTCCGGACAGCATGATATTATTTCAAAATTGATAAAATTCTGTATAGGATGAACTAGCCTAAGGATAAGATGGCGTAGCCTGAGGGTTGAACTTTCACAGAAAGAAAAAAATAGGGTTCTAAAATAATGTCAAGCAAACCATCCAGTTATAACAGTAATCTCTCCTCATTTGAGAAATTATGCGCTTTCTGATTTCACCTCTCAGACTTATAAATTTTAAAGACAAGGAAAGAAAATCTCTCATGCTAGTATCTTGGACCTCGGTTCATGGAGCACTTTAAAATGATAAACACCTTGTTTCCGGTGTCGAGATATAATTTCAACTGATCTTCAGGATAGAATCGTTGCGAGCGCTTGGTGGAGCTAAATGCTTCTCAATTGCAGCAGATGCGTTTGACTGGGCCCGAGGTGAGTTGGAAAGTTTAAGTGGTAATGATGAAATCGCTCAGGAAGCTGCTGCTATTGCCCGAATATGTAAAAATAATGCTGTTGTTTCGCGAATATTCTCTTCAGGCAGCAAAAATGAGGTGAATTTCGTGACCAGTTACTGGTCATTATGTAATGTATTCACTGATTTAAATCATATTGGGATTTATAAGAGAAAGAAAAAAAGAATATTTGTCTTGCTCCATATAGCAATATTTTTGCTTCCAATTCAAGATCTTGATCGTTGACTTTAGCAGTTCGTGAAAATGGAACTCTTGGCCTATTCTCTTAATTTGCCGATTATAAAGACATTTTTTCAGTCTCAGATCGATTTTATATTCAATGGAGACTCATCGTACATGTATCCTTTGCTCAAAATTACTTGATCAAGTACAGCAGCAATAGATTTTCTTCCATTTTAATGTTTTTCTTGCAATGATTTCATATTGCTAGGCGTGATATTCTTCCACGAATATTAGCATCCATCATATCTGGTGACCATTATCTTGTGTACTTGTTTCATGTTACTCTTTATGAAAATACAATTTTCGAAGCGTCGTCCTTTTTTCATAGAACTTTCACTTCGTATAAAGTGCTATATTCAAAAGATTTATATTAGAATTAATTTTAAAATTTAATTTCGACAGCAGTGATATGTTTATTGCAGCTCATTTCTTGATGGAAACGTGTTTGTACGTAGAATACGAATGTGCATCAACTTTCTGGGTTTGATTACTGGATCACAAAATTATTTTATTTGATCAGTAATTGGAATTTAAAATCCAGGATGAGTTTTGCAAATTTCATTGGTTTCTAAGAATTTTTTGTAGTAACTGTCATGTTTGGTGCTACTGATATAAAAATGTGCTGCAACATATTGAACTGTGAAATGAGTTCAGCATATCAAATAATATCGTATTTTGTAGAAATTGTTACTGCATAGTTTTTTTATATTTTCATTTCTAATAAGGCTTCTTGGCAAGCAAAATAAAAAGTTTTTATATTTCCGTATGGAAAGTTTATTTAATTGCATTTTTTCGCAATTTAGTAAGTAAGCAGAAAGTTAAAATTTTGCCACTAGCCATTACTGCATTTTCATTGATTGTATTCTTTGTTTTTTAATTTTGACGTGTTAATTTGCTCATTTATTCTAAGAAATATTTGAGCTGGAATGATTGAGATAGAGGTGTCCTAATGAAATTCATGAAGTTTAAACTATTGAATTGCTTGCAGTGATAGTAGCGCTTCGTAGTTTTTTACTTTGAATGTTTTAATTTAATTAGTGGATGAAACTTGTCAACTCTGGTTATTCCTCTCATCAGTCCAGAACCTCTAGATCAGTTCTGTATGGGAAGTTACGTGGAAGCGGATTTGTCAGTCGTGATGGTCATTAGTGTTAGGAAGAAGGATGATGCGTGGTATAGGCCTATTACTCTTCTGTTCTTTTGTTCTTTCATACCTGTGCAATTATTTTCTTTTAGGAATTACTTACATGTGATATTAAAATAAATGTTTTAGAGGCCGATTTTATTAGCAATGATGATAAACATTTACTGATTCTGAGAAGGAAAGTTTGCAAATGTATAAATAGTCATTTGTTGTGAACTCTTTAATAACTTTTATTTTTGAAATGCTGCAGTAGAAGTGTGATTCTTAAGGATTTATTTAGAAGTTTTGAGCAGTTACATTAGAACAGTATCGACCTAAATGTGGATTTTGTTATAAAATCCCCGGGTCGTTATATTATTTGAAAATTTTATTAAAAAGATCATTATATTATTTAATAATTTCATTAAAATCGCTTTTTTCGACGGAAAATTTCTATATTATTTAATAATTTCATTAAAATCGCTTTTTTCGACGGAAAATTTTTCTCCAGTTCTACTAATATTTAAAACGAAAACCAATCGAAGAATCTTCGAGCAGTCACTATTGTTATGCCAAGGTATGCATTTCTTCGGCGATTTGATATAACATTCCGACACTTTTTGCGATCATATGTATCAGTGGGAGAGGAGCCGAGTGCTGATTTGCTTGGCAAAGCTACCGTTTATCCATTTGTTCTTCAGTAAGTGTCCTTTTGTTGAATCGACTAATCTTTTCTGGCGAGCCAATCAAAGTTTTTAAGTTCGTTTCCGAAATATATACATTGTGACTTACAAATTACATTTGCACATTTCTTTTTGAAGGACTTATTTGGTGCAAGTTTTGCAACATCACAAATCGTATTTTTTTCTTTGCTATAGACACTGTGTTTCAACGTGCTGAGAATCAACCGAAACTGAAAACATTACTTAGATGCGATATGCACTTCATAAATTTTATTTTAGGGATTATATAGATGATACTTTGAAAGAGAGAGACCATTTCGGTTTCAAGAAAATGATAACAATAGATGATTTATTCCATGCACGGATACACTATGGCCACAAGGTAAGTCAATAACATTTCATATACAATAGTAATAAAAAGAAATCAAGTTATATCATCCCACCTAACGAAAGAGATCAAATAAAGGAGTTACGAGGAATCGTATTTCTAGTCTAAGGAATTGTTCATAACAGCGGATTTTGAATACCATTTTTTCAGATTGGAACAGTGAATGAGAGGATGAAGTGGTCGTTATTTGGTGAACGTTTAGGTGTTTGCATTTTTGATTTACAGAAAACGCGTGAACACTTGATTACAGCGTTAAATTTTATCGCTCATATCGCAATGCGTGGTGGAATGTTCCTATTCATTACGTCGCAAAAGTGAGAAAATTAATAGAACTAATTTAACTGGGATTAATAGTGAAGGAGTCGGAAGGTCTCGTACTGTGCTAAATGATCCATTTCAAAATTGTTTTTGAAATAAGCTACAATGGCCAGTGTAATCCCTTCAGAAATAATATGTTAATGGTTGAGCGAAAAGCTCTAGAAATAGACGAATTTGCCCACGTACGTAGTTGGAAAGAAGATACTTTACTTAATGCGAAGGCATTATTTGGCGCACCGATACGTCTACCTGACACCATCATATTCTTATCAACATTAACATCGGTTTGCTTATTTCCTTCTTTTTGTTATTGCTAATTTTTTCTCTTTTTTGATCAATATTCGCGGCTGTATTTTACCACAAATAAATTTATTAGATACTTTGCAGGGATAACCATTTGATTATTTAGTCTGTCGACTTTATAAATGGAGAAATTTCTTATGGCGTGATATTTCTCCAAACTCATAGAATGTGACATGAGAAAGTTATTTTGTAATAATTTGTGGAACAAGTACTTCTTTTATAAAATTTAATTTTTATACAGAGAAAATATTCCAGGTATTAGAAACACACCCAGCAGTACGCGAAGCAGCAAAAATGGTAATTCCTACGGTTGGTATCGTGGATTCCAACGCTGATCCTACCTATATTACATATCCGATTCCTGGAAATGATGACTCAACACCCAGTGTAGGGTATTTCATGGATTGTTTCGTTAAAGCTATCAAGATGGGAAAAGAAGCACGACGGTCATTACTTGCTGATTAACAAACTAACTCTAAGTTGAGCTTAACGTCGTATAGTATTTCTTTTCATTAAAAGTATGTTTATAACTAAACACTGTTGCATGTATAGGATATTTCATGGATTGTTTCAAATAATGTACTTCTATCATTACATTTGATTTGCGCTCACCTGTTATTTCTGTACCTGGTATGCGCATCGCTGATAGCAATGGAAATAACAAACTTGAGCTTTTGGCTCAATAAATCAACATTGTAAAAAGTATGCTGATAGCAATGGAAATAACAAACTTGAACTTTTGGATCGTAAAAAGTATGTTGGCAGCAGCAACCAAATCACATTTGAAGTAAAGTCCTGGCCTCACTGGAGAAAAGTCACAACAATTATTAATTGTTTTTCTTCTTTTTCTTATCTTTTACTGGAACGGCCGTCTAAAAATCATCTGTTCAGCGTGAGATATCGTATCAAAAATCAATATGTATGATCAATTTCAAAGCACATCAATCCGGCGACAGATCATAAACTTTTGTTATGAAATATGAAATTTACCGTCCCAAGAACAATCCGTTTCTTTTCATCTTCGTCTATCTCGATTGATGGATGTTCTACACCTGTTAAACGATTTCGTAATAATTTCTGCTTCATAAACTGAAAAAAGCATATATAAATACATGGAAAGAGTATGAGACTTATTAACCTAATTCACTTCCTGAAAATCGGAATTACATGATTTAGGGCATATCCACTTGAAAGGAGATCCATTTTACTTTTTGTAAGAACGACAATTCAACAACAACGGTTCTCTCAACTTCACTCAGATCTACATCTCATTTTGGAGACTGAAATATTTGTACTATTTATTGACTATAAGCAAACTATACTGATACAGCAACTTAGCTGACAGTCCAACAGACAAAAGCATATTAAAAAATTAAATATTTGACCTGCTGAAGCAACACCCGTCGACAACGTTGCTTGATTGCTAAAGCGAGATCTAGCCAAGTCCAATTTTTTTCATGATATTCACATAAAGGGAAAACCAACTGAAATCGATCGACATCTTCGATATTTTTTTCTTTGTTTCCCTAAATGTAAACAGAGAAAACATTAGATCAATATCACTACCAGAGTTCAACTGATTCTTATCAGTTAAATTTAGTGCTAGAAACTTATAAAAAATTGGAATTCATTCGCTCACTTTTTAGTAAAACTTGAAGTAAATGAAAGAAAGATAAAATTTTTATTAATAAATAATAATAATACAAAACATTGCCTTGTATGAAACAATGAAAGGCACTTCAGGTATTTTAATGTACAGGAAAACATTATTTTCTTGAGCCCGCTCCTTCATGCGGTCAATATCATCACGTAAACGACTGGAATCATTTGCTCGCCGAGATGAACCGTTCATCGCACCTCGTAACCACTGTCCAACCGATACACCCTACAAAGAAGTGTAATAAGTTGTCTACATTTCATTAACTTTGCAACTAATTATTCTATTAACTACTATATCTGAAATCGGGTTAAGTATCAAAATACCAGGTGAAAATTTTCGTTTGCCTCATCTTTAAATATAAATCACCTGTTATTGAAAACAGTTCAACAATCTTTTCGCTTGAAGGATTTCGCTCTTCAGATTATTTGCATGTGAAATATAATAAGTAGATGCCTCCATATAAAATCATTCTTAAACTACGACAATTACGATTGTCAAAATAGACTAACTCAGTGCATACATCGTTTCAGACATGAAAATCTTTAGCATATTCTGAATAATTCCACCGAATAGTGCGGATTAATGAACGCAAAAAAGTAGAACAGGAAATGTTAATCTTGACAAGAAATGCTTGAAAGAGCCAGATCTCTTGAACGTGCTCTTCGAAATGAAAAAAAAAAAGCTACTTGACTATTCTGTAGCTCTTCATTTGTATCAAGATTCCGCTGGTCTTCTTTGTCGATATTCCTTCCAGGAAAAAAGTACTCCATCATTTTTTCGAAGAATCTATATGTAATTTGAGCATTCATGGGTGAAACATTGATCTCGAAATGTTCCTTCACCGAAATTCCACCAACTAAAACCATTCTCTTATCGAATGTTTTAGCTAACCTTTCACAATGGAAAGAAAGACAACTAAACAGTTAAACACTATCCCATACTGAATTAGTAAAAATAGAGCTGAGGAAATCACATTTAAAATAAACTTCATATTTCATTCCATAGAAACAACAAGCAAAAATCAATTGGAAAATTTTAAAAACTATATGTGTAGAGGTACACCTGGTGCCTTCTCTCGACAAACAACCCGAATTGATGCCGGTTGGCGCTCACTTTTTCTTCGTGATGTATTTTGAGCTTGCAGGGTATGCTGCAAATTGAAAAAAAGTTTACTAAATTTTCGGTATTCAAAGTTAGAGTCAAAGGAGATAAAGCACTAAATCAGTTATTATTGTCGTGATTAGCATTATATCACAGAAATAAGAGCTAAGTAATAGGATCGTCGAGAGAGCCTTATTTTAAATTCAGTGCTTTAAATTAGAATGAAATGTCAGCACACATATAATACAACTACTCGAAATTATTTATCATCATCATTAAGGCAATTTTCCATTAGCGAATCAACTAGCAGAATGGAAATTTAGGAATTACGAGTTCAATTTTGGTCATAAAACAATACTTTATAAAGAGTATCTGGAAGTAGATTGGTAACTTGTACAGTTCCAATTTCCAACAAATGTTCACCAGAATTATCTATGCGCGCCGTACGTGTATATCTGAAATTACATTTATAGAGCAAACAATACCGAGCAAACACTTTTCAAAAGAAAATAAATGGAAGCAAATTCTTACAAAAAATTTCGTATTTGCATTTCTGCAAGTGCAATTTGTCCATCACTTTCTGTAAGTCTCCAAATACAATCTTCGAAACAAACTTCAAATCTGAAAAAATACAGTCTTCGAAACATATTTTAAGTCCGAAACATAAAATCTGCTAGTTTAAATTTGCAAACCAATATTTAATCAATAGTCAAAAATTAAAGCTTATCTACAAATGTTTACTTCACCAATAACTAGAATTACTAAACTAAAAACACTACCTTCTAGCCACAGCAGCTTGCTCTTCCTCAGCAGCATTAACAAGCTGTCTCATCCTTTCCACTTGTTTCTCTTTATAACAACTGAAATTCAATGAATGAAACTAATAGAACAATAATATCATAAGAAACTTCTTAAGATTTCTCGTTGTACTAGATTGACAAATTCCGTAAACTATCATACGGAAACCACAACAATTTGTACTAAAATCTGAAACCTACCTAATGGTCATTGCTAATTCATCACACAGAACAATCTGATTTTTTTTCATTTCATCGATTTCTGCCGTCACAGTTTTGTTGGCCTCTAATATTCTAAAAAATAATGAGTAATGAACAAATGAATTAACCTTTTATAACTTAAAAAAAAACGAAAAAATAAAGTAATATAACAAATCTGCTTTCAAACATAAATCTTCTATATTAAATCATAAATTCATATGTTATCGTCCTTATTACAGCAAAATTTCCCAAAACTGTTTTTTTTTATACCTCATTCATCTACTTCATACCCTCATCCACATTAATTTTCTTACACGTACGACTAATAAAGATCGTAGGAAAGAAACTTACGCATCGTCATTGCCAGATTCTTGCAACTGTCTGTTCAGGAAAAATAAACGTCTTTCCAGTGAACGGATTACCGCAATAGCATCTCGTAATTCTGCCTGTCAGGAAAAATGATAATGAAGAACAGTTCAGTTATATCAGAAAAATCAAAACAAGCTTAATTTTTTTAGAGTACTAATTTCTTGATTTTTTTCTAGCTTGTAAAAAAATTTTTTTTAATCTTTCTATTTCCTTTCGGATGCTGAAGCAAGAAATTCAAAAAATGAAAAAGGCTACCTGCATGGCAAAAATAGCTGATTTCACTTCATCAACATCTTTAAGCTGCAACTCAAAACGCAGTCGTTGTCGTCGACGATCACTTTCTTTCTTTCGTGGATCCACAAACAGAACCAATTGATTTACAATATTCATCACCATTTGGTACTGTTCGGGATTAGTGCTGACCTGAAATTTTGCAATTCTCATAAATTAAGACCAAACTATACTGTGGTGAAATCGCTGATTCTCGGATAATGAATAAGAAATGATATTAGAGGAAAGAATAATTCAAAAAAAAAAACTTTGCCTCTAGCATATTGTGCTTCAAGGTAAAGCAATCAACCGGTTCTGGCTGGCCCCAAATTTCACCTGCTTCATTCGTTTCGCCAATCTATGAAAATTGCAAAATAATGAACTTATAAAATGAATGAAAATCCATATTGTAAAACTTCATGTTGAATTTCTCCAAACTATAGTGATACTAATTTATTTTTCAATTATATCCAACAAAATTGATCACTATAGTGCAATGCCACCGTTATTTACATTATCTCATTGTTTAAACATTAGAAATTAGCTTTTAGAACGTACTTTATTAAAATAATTTCATTTATATACTATTTACAAAGCGTACCGAATAAGGAATGTCATGAGTATCCAGATCTAATGTATCCGAAAAATAGCAAAAATACATTTGACAGCTACATCTTGAAACGACTCGTTGTAGCTGCAGTTTCCCCTCAACTTGTGCTACATTACCATGGTCTGAAATCAAGCTCACATTCACGATGAACTCTTGAAAGGCGTTCTGAAAATTCCTAGAAAATTTGGACGAAAAAGCAGTCGACAAAACTGATTTAGTCTATTTAATTCCAATTCTTTACTTACATTATAAAAAAAGTTCTCGAATAAAAAATTGTTTACCAACAACTACACCGCCCACAGCTTCTCCAGTACTGATGTAAGGATTCAGGCGATCACTAATATTAGGATCACTGCATGTTTTTTCCTCAATAATATCTCGATTCAACCAATGAAAACCTTGCTGAATTGATTCGGATAGAGAACCTGATGGGTTGAGATGCCGAGACATTACCAGAGGTGCGAAGTACTAAAATTATATCACTTTCTAATTAATCTCTTTTCCAGGTGTGAGAATTGCAAAGAGCATACAAAAATGCCTAAATCAATAACTCAAATGGCATTAGCTCTTTTTTTTATTATTTCTGATGCATCACAAAAAAAAACCTGCATTCCGGAAAGTGTCGCACACCACGACTTCTTGCTCAACAACTGTGATTTTTTCCAAACTAATGCATAGATGCGTTGAGTTACAGATGCACGAGCAGCAGTTAGTAGAACAAATCCATCCTTTTCTTTTCCGCGTAAAACGGCTTGGCTATTGATAAGATCAACTGAAATGAGAAATACATTTATATTTATTTCCTATATCGAAAAATGTGCAAATCAACTCACTTTGCCAGTTGATCAATACTACGTCATCAGCTGAACACAGTGCAATCCCTTGTAACATATCCGAAGGAATGTCAGTTGTCTAAAATACGTTATGCATGCAAATATAAATACCGCATGAGTTATACTCAAAACTTAGCATGATAAGTTAGTAATCCACAGAGGAACAAATCAGCTTTTTTCTACAGAAGCTTGCCAAAATAGGCAAAAATAGAATTTATAGTTGGAATCAAAGGAATATTAACATATCTACTTCCAGCGTTTATTGATAAAAACGAAAATAAAATCGTTACTAACCACTCAACAGATCTGTAGTGGGAAAACGGAACAAAACCTACAAAAAATGAGAATTATATAGTGAGCAGGTAAAATAAGATTTCCCTTCAGCTCTATTTTAGAAAAAAAAATGATATCACTCATATCATCGAGTATTTCTGTAATAGAACAACAAAAAAGTGAGACTTCTTCATCGTAAGCGACAAGTTTTGTACTGGCTTCATCTATCAATCGTTGCAACATATCGTTTTCCTCTGTCACTTGTCTATCAGAACCATATCGTGATCTGTAAATAGCTAATACACATTTTTCATGGTCACTTGTCTAAACAAAAACTGCTTCTACAAGAACTAACAAATTAGATCTTGCAAACTATTAAACGTGAAGACGTGAAGAATAGCAAAGAGACAACGTTATCGGTAATGCTGAGAACACTCAGTTCTCGTTATACGCCTATGTTGTCAGAGACCACACAAATGTTAGATATTTGGATTCTAAAAATCAGTTTTCTTACCAATTTAAACATTCATTAATCAATATTATTGAAACATTCTAACAATATCGACAATACGGTAAACAAAGCACAGCAATTTTCATGCTGTAATTAAAAAATAGACAAGTACTCACTGATTTGTTGTTCTTTCAGAATCAGATTGTAATCTTGAGACACTCGGCCTTGCCGCACTCATACCATTTAAAGTAGCTGAATGTGCTGTCGGAACTCCTGATTCCATAAACTACAATAAAAAACATCGTTGCATCTTTTTTAACATAAAAGTTCTACAAAAAATCCGTTAGTGACTAAATTACTGCTTTAATATTAAATTAAAAAGAAAAAACTAGAACTAACACTTGGTGTCTTTAGGGCATCTGTTTCTAAGATACGTCGCAAAATATGGGCTTTATGAATGCCGTCTGCAATGGCCAAACATGTATCACGATTTTCCGGAGTCCATGAAGCACGCAGATCATGAATTGTAAGTCGGTGCACCGCTTCATCACTTTCCGACACTTTGACCTTTCTATTAATGGAAGAATTGGTGTTATTCTGAAAACATAAAAAATCTCTGAACCTTCTATCCGACGAATAAGTTCGAAAGAAAACAGCAAAATATGTTGTTCCAGGAAATAAACTTTTCCACAAGAAACAGAATGAAAGTTAAAATTTTCATGAGAAATCGAACAGAATGAACACTGCATCTATTAGATTTTATATTAAGATATTGACTACCGGATTTAATGTGCACGCTACCAGATAAATGAGAAATCCTAGGAATTAAAAAGTTCTGGTCAAAGGCGAGTCGATTATCAATTCATAACCAAAATAATAGCGTTGCAATTGCAATTAACACTTTATCAGTGCCTCAGTGAATAGTATGATTAAATAATAAAACATGATAATTATAGTATGTTCGGTTTGAAAAAAAGAAATTATAACACAAACCTTAGATCGTGCCTCTCGTGTGTAAGACAACCGATCCAGTCCAATAAAAAATGAATTATCATCGATTGAGGTAACAAAATTTTGTGAATTTGCCCCAAAAAGATGAATCTGTGCATTTAAAAGCTGTGCTGAAACGTATAAAACTGACCATTTAGCAATTCGTCTTCTGCTGACTCCATCCTAAAATTTCAGAAAATGCTAAAAAAAAGCAAAACGATGGGAGGGTACAGTCGAAAGTTATACCTCCATCAGCATTTTAACCTAATTTAAAAAACATTATTTTTATTATGTAACATCTAAAATACTTCCATATTAATAAAGTGTAGCAACTATTCGAAAATACTAGTGCGCAAGTATATAAATTGTATACATATATATCGTATAAAAGAGACGCGAAAGCATAAAGTTAATTAAAAATGTAGCAGCAATAACTACGATCTTGTTACTATAAAATATCACGCAATATTATACAGCTTAGCCTAACAAACGGTTGAGACGGGAGATTTTTGAAAAAAAGTGATCAGATTGACCTTTTGCTCGCCATTTTGCAAAATGTGAAGTTCTAATGACGAGGTTAAATTTAAACTTTCACTAATCATTCGTAGACCATGCGATGAGGAGTACGACATCCAGTAAGTAATCAGAAAGCGTGGAAGCATAACATTTAGCTGAATGTGCCTACAATATCAAGGCGAATTT